TCAGCTTCATGAAGGAAAAGTTATAATTTTCCTACACTGAAAATATATTTCCAACAGGTACTTACTTCTGCTCACATACATAGCTATTCTTGTTTATTGCTGCCTTCCATTTGCAAATTTTGTTTGGCATGCAACAAGTCTTTCATCCCAAGTACCCCTCAGTTCACATGGTTTAACTGATTCACGCATGCAAATTGTCGTGCATCAAACCTCCACCAATAGTAGTTCCCCCACACACGTACCTCTATGCTATTCTATCTAACTATCACTTTGAATTTAGGCAGAAACCTAAGCACCGGTGGGGAGGAAGGGTGGGAATGGAAGCAAGTACCTGTCGGAAATATATTTTCAGCATAGGAAACTACCGACAAGATACCTTACTTCCATTCACATATATAGCAACATCCATGCAGGGGGTAGGATGAGAGATCCCAATTGCATGATGACATACTGTGATTGGTTCAGCTCTAAATCCAAAATTCAACTGCTGGGAACCAACATCCACTCAAGGGTAAGATGAGGGATCTTAATCTCACTTCATGTGTGAGGACATGATGTTGATTGGGTCAGCTCTAAATCCAAAACTCAAGAACCGACATCCATGCAGGGGTAGGATGAGGGTGGGCAATAGGGTGATTGATTCAGCTCGAAATCCAAAACTCAACCACCAAGAACCACTTTCCATGCAGTTATGGCAGCTCACTCCAAAGATACAACATCCCCTCTGCATAGCCCGTGCAAAGATGGAGCATCTTTTTGGAGGATTTCCATCAACAACACCAGCAAAAAACCACCACCCTACTCTTAACTGAATGGATTCCTCAATATTTATATTGTATATTTCTCATTTAGGAGGATACCTCCAATATCCACCACCCTAGTGGCTTGAAACTGGAAAGTGGTAAGGACTCTCTTATTCCACTGGAAGAAATGCTGTGGAGAGTCCGGAGGAACATACACACTAGGGGCAGTGCAATGGGTGACCACAAAACCCTATTTTGAAAAGCAGACCAAACTCGATTTATTCAAACTAAGGAATGACAGAGATAGGCAGCAATCCCCTTCTGCTTTATCCATGAAGTCTATGGGTCAGTACGGTCCAGAACGGGCATATTTATGAAGCAAATATATCACGGGGAATAACCTCCGAGTGACATCTTGTATAACACCCCACCTATAGTATATGTAATAGTAAAGAACAGTGTGCATTTAGAAGCCATGGAAATTGTGAAAGTGGAATCAACATAGTCTAACAGTGCAGATTTGAGAACAAATCAAAGTGATTGAAGTATACCTGGACAGGCACCACTCATAATCCAGATCGAAATATAGGACAAGCCTCTGAAATATATATATAATGAAAGAAAAAGAAAACTTGCACAATTATAGTTGTACTGAAGTTTGGAGAATGGCAAAAGGTTGAAGCATATAATTGGATGAGAAAAACTGCAACACGATGCAGATAATGAGATGAAAGTATGCAAAGTGGTCTACATGCCTGCTTAAAGAATTTCCTCCAATGGACAATGCAGATGAAATGCCAGGAAAAGAGTAAGGTGCCTGATATGATGGGAAGACACCTCGAATAATTGACTGGAAAAAGGAGACAAGGAAGAATAAGCCAATCAAATTAAAAGCCGAACCCAATTGGTAAGGGTAGGAGAGAGATCATGAACAAAGGATAGTTGCTGAGGGATGGTTATGACAGGAGGAAGCCACGCAGTTGATATAACAACAAAGAGCACGATCTATCCAGTTCAATTTTTGGAAAAATGTGGGAAGTGGAAGGAAGGAAAATCAGCGAGAAGGAGGAATTACCTTTCCAAGCCACTGAAATCTTGGGAAAGAAACACTAATCCAGGTAAAAGAGAAGATAAGAGGAATGGCACAGAGTACATGAAACATTGATGACAAACAAATCTGACCAATGAAATCCACAGGCTAAAAGGAGGAAATACACCTTATAGAATAAATGAAACATGGAACAAGAAGACAAAGGTTCAAATGGAGGTAAAGTAAGGCACTGAAGCATCACATTGACATTCCAATCCGGAAGGACTGAACACCATGGAAGTCAACTAATCTGGAAGGAACGTAACAAGAGTGATAAGGTATGGGAGGCAAAAACGAAAAGTATGGGATAAGGCTGCCTGATATCCCACAATTGAGGAGACTGAAGACCCCTGATCAAACAACCAAGTGAAGAAATTTGTAATAAAAGGAACAGTTAGATAAGCAGGGGAGAACACATGACCCAAGGACCAATGGCAGAAAATATTCCACTTATGTTGATAAACCTCCAATGGAAGAAAGTCGAACTGAACAAGCCAACAATGAAACTACTTGCCATGATAAACTGGATCTTCTTACCAAGGATGGGTAAAAACCAAGCATGAAGATGAAGGGTAGGAATGGCGGGATGAACTACATGGGACCAAGGCTGCTACAGAAGGAATGGAGTGCTGGGAAGAGGCAAAGGTGAAGCAAGTTGGATCTGGAGCAGCCACAGAAACCACGGCTGGGTTGGCCAGCAAGAGGCAATTAGAAGGACTTGACAAGGATTGGATTATAAAAATCACCATAGAAAAGAGTTGGATGAGAGGATACACATAAGGGAATTTGTCTGTCCAATCCTGAGTGAATGCATCAATAGTCAGAGCAAGTAGATGAGGCACCAGAGATCAAAACTGAGGTAACTTTGTTTTGAGGATAGTGGCAAATGCATCCGGATGCATAGTACCCAACTGAGTGCATAACCAAAGGAAACCTAGGATCTAGAGAACACTTCATCAGATAAATTTTGTTTGGGTAAGATAGACGATTTGCATAAAGGTTGAAAGCACCCAGAACATGACATGCAAGTAGATGAATACTGTGTGTGCAGACCCAAAAAGGGAGATCCAATGTTCGACTACAAAGGGAACAAGAACAGTTGCCTCCCTAATGATTGATATACACTACAACCATAGAATTGTCTGCATGAATCATAACCAGAAGACTGCAGGCAAGAGGAAGAAAATGGACACCAAAAAGATCCACGATACTGATATGGTAAGACCATTGACCTGAAGCAACATGCTGCTCGATCCATGCTCCCCAGCCATGAAGCAAAGTGTCTGTGAAAATATGTAAATCTGGACAAGGGGGGAAGCAGAACCCCTGCAAAAGTGTGAGCCTTGTCCAACCACCAATGCAGCTCGTCTACAAGAGGAGAAAGGGTAAGAGGAATATCAAAGGGATCCCATGCAAGGTTCCTTTGGTCATGAAGAGTCTATTGAAGGGATCTTAAAGGAGCCCGACCCATGGGGATAAGTGTCAGTTACTGAGAATCAAGGAATAGAAAATTAGCCTGATGGTAGGCTAAAGCAAACTGATCTATAGCCTGCCTGTACCATGATGTAACTGAGATACAAAACACTCAGCACAAACCCCAATATCAGGAGATGATGGAAACACAAAATACTGAGGAAGGAGTATCACAGGGAAAACGATAAAACAGAACATATCTAGGAAATTATGTCAAAAAAATCCATATTTGACCTAATGGAATCCACAGCAGAAACATGGGAACACACAACAAATTTAGGCAGAGGAAAAAGGCTGTCAAATGCTTTGTCATCCTGAACAGGTTCAGCTTCTTCAGGAGGAAGTTGTGTCACATCAGGAGAAGAAGGTTAACTTAAATAATGATCAATCTCTCAATGAATAATTGCAGATAATTCCAAAGTCTACTTCCTCCACCTGAAGCCTGAGTAAGTGTGCTTGTAGAAGTTACAACCTCTGAAGTGGTAACTTGCACTTCAGATTTCATAATGCAAATTAAAACCAAACACAATTTTGCTGGTAAAGAAAGAAAAGCACAAAAAGTGATTAACTACCATAACTGGATAGAAAATTAAATAATACCACGATGAAATGAGGTACAAACAACAACTATTTAAAATAAGTAGGAAACTGGAAAATAAATGATATGAGAATTCAAAAATGGAAGAGAGCACTAAATAAAACATCCGAACACAAGCACTGCCAAACGAGACGTGATAATTAAGTAGAATACCATATAGGGAGTAACGTGTGTGTGGGGGGCATGTCTATTGGTGGAGGTTTGTCACATGATAAACTGCATGTGTGAATCAGTTAAACCATGTGAACTAAGGTGTACGTGGGAGTGAAAGGATTGTGGCATGTGAAAAAAAGTTTGCAAGTGTAGGGCAGCACTGAACAAGAATGGCTATGTATGTGAGTGGAAGTGAGGTACCTTGTCCAAATTTTGAAGACTGAAGTAATGTTAAGAGAAGTTTATTCTTTTAAACTAAATATAAATCTAACATGTTTTGATAAATTTATGTTCTTGTCTTTGAAAAATAAGGTGCCCAAATACCTTTGCCTCTTTCTTTGAACTAAATAACAGAACTGACTCATTTTCATAATGTGGTCACAGTTGAAAGAGTATGTTCACATCTCAAACCCTGGAACCTTTGATCCGCAGACTAATACACTAACCAGCTTGGCACAAATGCTAATAAATTTAATTTTTAATAAAACTACTAAATAGTTTAATAAAAGAAAATAAACATTTATTTGTTGAAGAAATACACCATTTTCTACATTAAATTCTGACTTAAGCTTATGAAGTCCATAAGATTCTAAGGAATTCCTTTAGGTAGTCAAGACCAAGCTTTGCTATTATTCTAATTATTGTTATTCTAGTTCCAATACCAATTATACTTGTCTTTATTTTCTAACATGTAGCTTACAAATAATGGCACTTCTTAATTGATTTTCATTAATGAACATGTGATATTATCTTTAATCATTAAAGGTAAACACACACACACACACACACACAAACTAATCTAATGCTTCTAGTGATATTTTTGATCTCTCTGTTTTTAATAAGTATGTTCTGTACTGCTTAAAATTTTTAATTGGGGATAATCTGGAAGTCATAGAAATGGAGGAAGCAGCTAGCATGGGTGAAAAGACAAAGTCAAGATATCTATGATGGGGTTGGAGGTGACAAATTGTGCAATAACAATATTTGATGTGAAAGGTGAATATACAGTTGGTAGTTGTTTAATATTTGATAAAAAACAATTACACACATCATTACAAGCTGACAGAAACTTGGCTGATTCATTAAAGAGTATAGGGTAAAAACAGTTATTATACACTTTGTAGTATTTTTCTAATCTTCAATTTTGATGACAGTTACAGAAAATAAATTGTGAAAGCAAGTTGGAAAGGACAGAAAATTTACAGTTGGCACTATTAAATCCAAACTATATGAGTGTTAGTACTGCAAACTAGCCATACTGGGGATAAAGTGATAAAGATGATTAATAAAGAAAATGGGCAGACAATGGAACATAATATTATAGGATGAGCTTAAGGTTATTACAGGTATTTTGCAAATGAGAAAAACAACACAGTAGAACAAAAGATGAGGTAATTTTCTCCCAGTGGGGATGTTTACAAAAACAAAACAGTGATTAAAGTGAAACCATCATTATCCTAATAATGCCAAAAACTACTGTGATACCTATGAAAGATACACCTCTATCGAAGCCCATTTGTGTTTCACTGACAGAGCTACTCAAAGATCCACAGTCAATATTAGTATATAATGTCAGTAATGAGACCAGCATCAACAGAAAGACTGTCAACAAAAGTAAAGAATATGAAAACCAAACGAAAATGAGGTGAAGAATAAAGAAGATAAATACAAGAAAATAAACACATTTGGTTAATATTTGTTTTTAAGTGTTGGGCTACTCACTGTATTTAGGCAGCACCCATCTTAAGATATCTCTCTTGTACTTTCCCAAATACTTCACCAAGATTAGTTTTTAAAGAGATTGAAAGTAAGCATGGTCAATGATATGTATACATTATTAATTAATGTCACATTAAACAGAATATTGCGAGTTTAAAATTTAAGTCATTTAAGCATTAATTTATGAAAATAATAATTTATACATTATTGATTAATGCCCTATTCAAGGAATCTGGTGAGATAATTAAATGTTAACTCAGATTACATTTTTATAATTAAGATAGTGTTAAACTACTGGCACTGTGTATGTTCACTAATTTAATCAATTAAAAAGAAAAAAATATCTGCATTCATGAATAATTTTACAACAAAGGTTAAGTCTGGTAGTTTCCACTGCCTTTACCAGGTTTCAGCACTTAACATCTTAATATTAAATTTTCTACTGGAAACTGTTATTTGAGATGTAAACTGTGACTCTTGGAGGTCTAACGTAGTAGTGGTACTTAACAAAATCTGCTGGGTTGTGACAGATAAAAAATAAGATCTACATATCTAAAACTTCAATGGATAATATTAGAGATGACGACCGATATGTTTAAAAAGTGCAAGAATTACAAATAAATGCAATTCACAAACACCTTTTAATCATCATATGTCCAACTTTTTTTTAGGGTTAGATATCATTCTAATTAAGAGAAAATAATAACTTTTCTAAGGTCAAACTTTATGTTATTCATTTAGGGATGAAACTCAAATTTGTAGAGACTCTTCTTTCTGCAAATATATGCTCCATCACTCAATTTATGTATTACACCAGCAAGATTAATAACAATTTGGACTTTATTATTTCCACATTTCATAAAAGTTATATAATTTTTGAAGCATAAGAACAAAAACCTTGAAATTTAGTATCAGAATTGTGTGCTCATAACTAATATAGTGTTAAACTCTGTTCTAGTACTGACATGTTCTAAGTTTAGGAACAGTTTTCTGCTATGACACTGTATGTTCCAAGTGTAAAAACAATATGACACATGCTACTGACACATGTATATTCCAGGTACTAACACTGTACATTCAAAGTATAAAAACAACATTCTGCTACTGACACATATATATATTCCAAGTACAGAAACAATGTTCTGCTACTGACACTGTATGTTTCAAGTATAAAAACAATGGTGATCTAAATTAAATACAATTTGTTTTTGATGAAAATGCAAGGTGGATATGTATAAAATACAAAATAATCTCTTGGGTGGCTGCAATTTATGGACCATGAAAACTAGCTGTCACAAAATTGGAACTGATGTTGTACTTTAAACCAGCTTTTACTTCTGCTTGATTGATAATTTGCTGGGCAAGGTTGTCCAAATGACTTCTAGACTGTAAAAATAAACAATAAAAAAAAAGAGTGTCATATTATTTTTGGCTTTCATAAAAAAAGCTTTTACATTCTGCTAATATCCTACTCTGTAACAAAAATTTCAGTTTATATATAATTACCGATTCTTGGAATAGAAAGAAAGAGTTTAATACTTCTTTTAATGCTATAGTCGAATTGCATTACATATATCTATTCTCTTACATTTTTAAATCTGACAGCATTTTTTCACTAAATCCTATATACAATTATATTCATATGATTATATATTCAGTGTTTTTTCATATCCACATTTAAATGAAAAACAGAATACCACAATTAACTACATTTTACAAACACTTACTTTAATAGAACCAACATAATATTTGGTAAGTATATCCAACCAAAAATTAATCTGTGTGGCACTTTTAAAATTTTTACTGTGTGTACAAAGAACAAGCATACTCTCAATCATTTTTTTGATACTTCATAACCTATTTTATACCAAAGATAATAGGAAAACACAGTAAAAATATGTGTGAACATTTAAATTAAAATGTAGTAAGTAAAATATAAAAGTAACTTGATATTTACAGATGTGAAAGAAAAAAATAGGAGAATTTTATTGATCTAAACTGGACTTTTAATGAGCAATCACTAAATCTTCCTCAATATTGAGCTTATGTTCATTTTTACACTGTTGATAATCTTAAAAGTGGAACTGTTATAAAACATACACCATATCACATATTATTATGAGTGTATTTGTATTCCACCCACACATGCCTGTGTGAAAGATGTAGTACCAAAAATTAAGGGTTTTTTTAGTTTTCAAATTCATACATTTTTACCGTTATGCGGAATTGATCACTGCATAAGCACACAAAAATTAACATAAAATTACATGTGTGATAATTCAAGGATAAACCTTTCTCACATCCCTTGACATCCACAAAATCAAGATGTTCATAGATCTAATATGTGGAAGAGCCGATATTTTGATTTGTTACATGTGAAATGAAACTATTACTGGAAGAAAAGAAAGAAACTGACTGATCATGCTAATGAAAGACTACTGCAAGGCAATGAAATTAAAATGTAAAACAAACAAAGGCAAAAAAAAAAGAGAAAGATACACGTTAAACTTTACAGACAATAACCAGTAAACACTAATAGAACAGAATAAACAGAAACAGGACTTCAATGCGAGTTTTGGCTCCCTCACAGATCAGAAAAGAAACTTTCTTCTTCAAAAGTTGGAATAAATCTGATGTGAATGTGCTAAAACTGCATTTACAATACACAGTCTCTCTGTTACTGACCAGTTAGAAAATGGCACCAGAATGCCAAAATATCTGCTTCGTGTCACAGTCACAAGGCATTGCCAATACACAAGATCAGGTAGGACACAATGCAACTATCCCATGAAAAAGTTGATAAGTTCTTTGACCAGTTCAGCTATAAAAAGTAACATCTAAGGCTGAATCTGACATATGTCCTTAACCAGATTAAGAATGTCTCAGAACTTAACAAATTTAAAACTTTGTAGAGATGAAAAAAATACAACAGTAGAGTAAGGTAACTAGTATTTGCATGCTCTCTTCTCCCTACCTTTAGGTGTGTCCTAAAGCCAACTTTAACAGCAGTTAAAAGGTTACACTGCAATCTGGTGAAATCCCAACTTTCAATTAAACTGAATGTAATTTCACAGAATGGCACAGCATGTAGCACGCTAAACAAGACTTACAAGTATTCCTAATTCTAAAAATCATGATAGAAAACATAGGAGAAAATATTTTATCAACTACACTTCATTTGCAATATCTAGTGCCAATGTAATATTTTCCCCAATACGAGGGTTCATTAAGCCAGCTTGGTTACATATGACTGACATCAACTAACACACACAGTGCCAACTAAACATTTAAAAATAACAATTAAAAAAAACTCCTCAAAGTACACACTACAGAAATGAGTAAACCTTTAAATGAAAATACTTACAGATGATTTATACATACCAATCACGAAATATTATTTACAAAGTTTGAACAGAGTTACTCTCCAAGTATGTATATTATATATATATAAATACACATATACACACACACACTAAACATCTATATTATAAGTATAAGTGCTTTTAAATTTATGATTGTGCCAGCAAAACTGTAACAAAATAATTATTATAATATCATCTATACAAAAGTATAAATTGTATCATTTTAAAATTTCTGCAGTCATAGCACCAAAAGCATCAGGGATATTCTGTCTACCAGAAATAATGAAAACTACAGAAAAACCCACCATACAAACTCCTGAAAAATAAAGTGGCTATCACATGATGTGGTACCTACATTCTATTATGACATACCACTTCATAGTTTGGATAGTGTTTCAACACCCTTTCAGCTACAGAACATCCCAGCATACAAACTCCTGAATAATAAAGTGGCTATCACATGATGTGGTACCTACATTCTATTATGACATACCACTTCGTAGTTTGGAAAGTGTTTCAACACCCTTTCAGCTACAGAACATCCCAGCATACAAACTCCTGAATAATAAAGTGGCTATCACATGATGTGGTACCTACATTCTATTATGACATACCACTTCGTAGTTTGGAAAGTGTTTCAACACCCTTTCAGCTACAGAACATACAAACATGACACACCACTTTCATAATTTGGAAAGTGGTGAATACCCTTTGAGCTTCTGATGTTTTCAACAACTGGCTGTCACAACTGTTGAAAGATGTCCCTCATTCCCAGCCAAAGCAACTAGGGGTTGATGTTACTGGCATGTCTGTGCATTCATACAGGTTATTCATTAGGTGGTATATTTTCTTCCCCTGACTCTATGTTAACAGCTAGAGAATGTTGACTGTTGCTTTCTTCTTTTTCTTCTACTGGATAAGAGTGGTGCTAAAAGTTGATCTTATACCACTGTGACTCTAACTAGTTCACCTTTTGCTGTCTTGTCAAACAAGTGCTGTAGAGGCTAGTGGGTAAAATATGGCTTCAACTGTTGACATTTCAGTGTGCTTTGGGCACCACACAAAATGGTGATTCTTACAGTTTGATGGATTAAATCATTGCAGAAAAACATAGTATCAAGTCCACATCTGACCAGTTTGCATGCTACTCGGGTATACCAGAGTCACACCTAGTCCACTTGTTCAAACTGCTGTCTTGTCATATATTCTTTTTTTTTGGCTGTTTTCCCCATATGTAGGTACACAAACTCATGCACATCAATTAACATGGATTGCAAGCATTCTGGTAACTCCACAGCTGATATGTGCGAGGTTGTACATGACATCTACTGTGAGCATACCTTCACATCTGACATTAACATATTCAGAGAGATGTGGGTAGACTGCTGCTCTGTTACACAGTGGTAATTGTTACACATAGCAGGTGATCATTCCAGGCAGTTTAATCTGATCAAAAACACCTTAGATCAGAAAAAAAAGAATTCAGCTTGTGACTTAGAGGAATGAAATCAAAATTGGCAGCCAAACTGGCAGCTACACTTGTAGCATTGATAAAAAATTTACAGCAAATATTTATTCAGTAGTTATCTAGGGCACATATTTTGTTTTACCCACCATTATACTCCAAATTAAACAATAATTTTCACCAAATTTGAGCAGTTTTTGTTGAATAACTTTGCACATGTGACTTATATTTAACCAAATAAGACTCCTAATTGTAGATTGAAAAGATCTATCAGTGTACCAAATTTGAAAAAAAATCCACAGAAGTTAAGTATGTTTTTTATCAAAGTTCCATACTTTTGGTGCAAAGAAAAAAAATAGGAAGAAACTCAATCAAAATTGGAGATGCTATATCTCAGTTATTTCTTAATGGATTGCCTTGAAATTTGGTATTTGAAGTAAGAATCCAGTAGAGCACATCCACTGAAAATTTGCAATAGTTTAGATTACCACAGTCTAAGATACACAAAGTGGAAAATCATCAAAGTATCACTCCTGTTATAACACACAGTGTGTCCTGCAGCAGGTTTTTTTTGGCTGTACAACACACTACCATGTGTCTTGATCCAAGCTTACAAACTTACAATGCATATGCTTTACAGTTTCGAAGGACTGTTCAGGAAAATCCTGGGACTGAGGATGTTATGGTGAAGTATGAGTCTTCATTACACCCAGATATTTTTAGCTTGACAAACACCTGTTTGATAATGTTTCCTCACTGATTAATATACATGTCCTGTGTTGCTCTAAAGTGGCCTATATGCTGTTAAGCTGATGTATCAGTGGTTATTTGAGCAAATGTATTAGCCAGTGAATATGCTTCACCACACTCAGTGAATTAAGTGAAGTATATCAGTGCTCCAGATAGTTAGTGTATCCATGTAAAATGCACAATTTTTTGAGATATGTGTCATTTTTTTATTTTACACATACAAGTTATAGAGGTACTATTAATATGCTACAATATGAATAGCTATTTTTCAACATAGATGCTCACATTATGTTAAAAGGAAAGCAAACCACAACTAGAAGTGTAACAATACATCAAACTATCGATAGATTGCGATTATGGATGTTCCAATAGCAATGCATCTTTGTTTTAGACTGGCTTTACAGCCTTTACTCATCTGTAAACATAAAAGTTCACATGTCACATCTGCCATTAGCAGCATTAGTCAAGCAATGAATCAAGCCTGTATTTGAGAATTAACAATTACTATAATTCTGGATTTACTATGAGTATCTTCATGAAAAGTTGAAATCATTCAATAAAATGAAAAGTATGTTGGATATAAAAAATCAATTGTTTTAAGCAAAGAATTGGTGTGAAATGTGAATTTCATGATAGGGAAAACATATACATATTTTAATTTTAAAGTTTTCATATTTCAATTGTATAATCTCTAGAACCTCCTAAATGAACATCAAAAATTTGTTCGATAACATAATATATTTTACCAGTAGATTTCTTCACACAAACAACACATACTTCAGCCTATTATTTTTGATGAAGATCTAGCA